ACAGGCAAGCCTCCGGTCCAGTGGGAAGCGGTGTTAGATCTCAGTGTGCACAAAAAGCCTTGTGGGGACTCGGAAGGCAAGGAATTCAAAGACAGCAGCATGGCGCAGCCAGCCTGCAGTGCCGTCAAGAAGAAGAAGCCGACCACCTGCATGCTGCAGAAGGTCCTCCTCAATGAGTACAACGGCATTGGCGTGCCCACCGAAAACACGGCGGATGTGGCCAGGAGCCCGAGTCCTTGTAAATCCCTGGATCCCCAAGCCGATCCTGACCTTGGGCCTGACACGAGTTTATCTGCCCCTACTGTGGAGTGCCCACCTGATGTTTCTCCTCCACCTCCTGCCTGCCAGACACCCTCTCTTTCTTCCGGGCAGCTGCCTCCTCTCTTGATGCCAACACACCCCTCATCCCCTCCGCCCTGTCCTCCTGTGTTAACCGTTGCCACACCACCTCCTCCACTCCTGCCCACCATACCTCTTGCGGCCCCCTCTTCCGGGGCGTCTCCTCTCCCGTGTCCCTCCCCACTCTCCAATGCCACTGCACAGTCCCCACTGCCGATCCTCTCTCCTACGGTGTCTCCCTCGCCTTCTCCCATTCCTTCTGTAGAGCCTCTCACGTCCGCCGCCTCTCCGGGGCCTCCGACACTCTCATCATCATCTGCATCTTCATCCTCGTTCTCTTCCTCTTCCTCCTCTTCCCCCTCTCCGCCGCCTCTGTCAGCAGTGTCATCCGTTGTTTCTTCCGGGGACAATCTGGAAGCCTCTCTCCCCATGATCTCTTTTAAGCAGGAAGAATTAGAGAGTGAAGATCTGAAACCCAGGGCAGAACCCCCGCCTGCAGCTGAACAGGATATTGTGCAGGAGACATTCAACAAGAACTTCGTCTGCAATGTCTGTGAATCGCCTTTCCTTTCCATTAAAGACCTAACCAAACACCTATCTGTTCATGCTGAAGAATGGCCCTTCAAATGTGAATTCTGCGTGCAGCTCTTCAAGGCGAAAACCGATTTGTCGGAACACCGCTTTTTGCTTCACGGAGTCGGCAATATCTTTGTGTGTTCGGTTTGTAAAAAAGAATTTGCTTTTTTGTGCAATTTGCAGCAGCACCAGCGAGATCTCCACCCGGACAAGGTGTGCACACACCACGAGTTTGAGAGCGGCACGCTGAGGCCACAGAACTTCACAGACCCCAGCAAGGCGCACGCAGAGCACATGCAGAGTTTGCCGGAAGATCCTTCAGAAACGTCGAAAGAGGAAGAGGAGTTGAATGATTCTTCCGAAGAGCTTTACACAACCATCAAAATAATGGCTTCTGGAATAAAGACGAAAGATCCAGATGTTCGACTGGGTCTCAATCAGCATTACCCAAGCTTTAAACCGCCTCCGTTTCAGTACCACCACCGGAACCCCATGGGCATCGGGGTCACGGCCACCAACTTCACTACACACAACATTCCACAGACATTCAGCACTGCCATCCGTTGCACAAAGTGCGGCAAAGGTGTGGACAACATGCCCGAGTTACACAAGCATATCCTGGCCTGCGCTTCCGCCAGCGACAAGAAGAGGTACACCCCCAGGAAGAACCCAGTCCCGCTGAAGCAAACGGTGCAACCCAAGAACGGGGTGGTGGTTTTGGAGAACTCTGGGAAAAACTCCTTCCGACGAATGGGACAGCCCAAAAGACTGAACTTTAGTGTCGAACTCAGCAAAATGTCACCAAATAAGCTCAAATTAAATGCTTTGAAGAAAAAAAACCAGCTTGTTCAGAAAGCCATCCTGCAAAAAAACAAATCCGCCAAGCAGAAGGCGGACTTAAAAAATGCTTCAGAGTCCCACATCTGCCCGTATTGCCATCGGGAGTTCACGTACATCAGAAGCCTGAATAAGCATGCTGCTTTCAGCTGTCCCAAAAAACCGCTTTCTCCTCCCAAAAAAAAAGCTTCCCATTCATCCAGGAAAGGTGGGCACGTGTCACCTGCCAGTAGCGACAGAAGCAGTAGCAGCAACCACCGCAGACGGACCGCAGATGCTGAAATTAAAATGCAGAACACGCAGGCTCCTTTGGGCAAGACTAGAGCTCGCAGCTCAGGCCCCACGCAGGTGCCACTGCCTTCCTCGTCCTTCAGGTCCAAGCAGAATGTCAAGTTTGCAGCTTCGGGGAAATCCAAAAAACCACCCTCCTCTTTAAGGAACTCGAGTCCGATCAGAATGGCCAAAATAACTCATGTGGAGGGGAAAAAGCCCAAAGCTGTGGCCAAGAACCATTCTGCTCAGCTCTCGAGCAAGACGGCCCGGAGCCTGCACGTGAGGGTGCAGAAAAGCAAGGCCGTCTTGCAAAGCAAATCCTCTCTGGCCGGTAAGAAAAGAACAGACCGGTTCAATGTAAAATCTAGAGAACGGAGTGGCGGGCCCATCACCCGAAGCCTCCAGCTGGCAGCTGCTGCCGACCTGGGCGAAGGCAGGAGGGAGGACAGCAGTGGCAAGCAGGAGCTGAAGGACTTCAGGTAAGCTGTGTCCCAGGGCCTGAGGAACTCAGCTCCGAGCGTGGGGGCGGGGAAGACGGTTGGAAGCGAACAGTATGCTTGCCCAATGGCTTTTTTTTTCTTCTTCTTCTTCTTCTTCTTCTTCTTCCTGTGTAATTTTGACATAAGCACTTAAAGGAAATGGGGTTGCTTAAGTTATAGGCTGCTGCAGAGTTGGATACCGCCCAGCTTTAGCTCAGACCCAGGACTCGCAAAAGCGTGCCATTTTTTTAGGGCCAGTGTGAACTGAATCTGAAATCATGGAAAGCTCTCCAAAGTGCCCTGTCCTGAAAAAATGAAATCCTCTTAAACTTCCTGCCTATCTTGGGTAATATCTCAGTGTCTCTTTCATTTTTTCTGGATTATAGGTGGTTTCTCCTGTTAAAATGGATCTCTGAGGTCATTAAAACCACATTGCAATCTCATCAATATTTCTGTGACTCAAGCATAGTTATAGTAATGGAGAATGCTTCCGTTCTTCATGCTTCTATTGTTTGCATTCAAAAAGCTTGCCTCGTGGGTTAAAACAAAATGCACCACGCTCATTTGTAAATGCCTTAAGTCCCCACCCCCTCCTCTCCGGCGTAGGGTGGCCCAGGCCAGCGGCCGAAGGAGGAGCAGCAGGAGAGGGCTTAGCACCGCAGCAAGGCCAGGCTCCCCGGCTCCCCCAGGCACAGGCCGAACCCAGGGCCAGTCAGCCTGGCCTCAGTGCCTTTGTTTCCCAGTAACGATGTAGGGATTCATCTTAGATTTGAGGTGATTTTACTTTTACTGTTTTATTTGTGTCCTCCCTATATTCAGAAGTGTTCTCAGTGACACAAAAACAGGGCAATAGTTAAATTAGTTATGTTGACTTCTCAAATCTCCTAAATCACTTAAATAACCTTGGTGTGACGCACTTTCTTGGGATTCCTGCTGTTTCCGAAAAAATGCCTGCGGGTCAAGCTCGTGAAAAACTCACCATCAGATAGGATTTCTGCAAAATCCTTCAAAACCTTGTCCTTTCGGAGTGAGCTGTCCCTCTCCTGTCTGAAAGTCTGTGGTGTTTCAGGCAAGCAGACGGAGTTCACTGGGGGTGGTCTGCCGTGTGGGGAGGTCATGAGGACACACAGGTGTGGTTACCTGGCACAGCTGATGAGGTAGAATTCTGGGTGCCCATGTGTCTTAAGTCCCTGCTAAAGAACGACGTAGAGAAGACTCCTTAGCCAAGACTTATAGTTAAAAAGCTACTTCAGAAATGTACAAAACAATTAGTTACTAGCGATATAACTTAGCCTCTGGTCTCTGGCCATGCCATATGCATAAGCACCTATTAGCCATTAGAATAGCCTGCTGTAGTGTTGATTTTGTTTTTGTTTTTTAAATATATTGATTTTTTTACAGAGAGGAAGAGAGAGGGATAGAGAGTTAGAAACATCAATGAGAGAGAATCATCGATTAGCTGCCTCTTGCACACCCCCTACTGGGGATGTGCCTGCAACCAAGGTACATGCCCTTGACCAGAATCGAACCCAGGACCTTTCATTCCGCAGGCTGACACTCTATCCACTGAGCCAAACCGGTTCCGGCTTCTGTAGTGTTTTTGTTTTAACTGTACCTGTTTGTACTCTGTCTTTGCTCTGGAAGATCCTCAACAATAGGAGGTTCTTGAACTTGAGTCCTTTTAGAAGATAAAGAGCCAGAATATGTCGTCATTTTTACAGACTACTCCAAAACACGCCCCGGGTGGTTGATGCTTTAGAATGCACTTGCATACCTCCCTTTGCCTCCAGTCTTGTCTGAAAGAATCATTTTGTACTGGATCCCATTTTTACAGTTCAAGGGTGAAGAAAAGTTCTCTGAGTAACTAAACTTACCAAGTTCATTCAGTTAGCCTCTTCCTCACCCCATGCTTTTGGAAGCAGACCTCAGGGGACCAAAGTGCCTAATAAAATTGTTTCCTCCAGTTCATTGTAATTATTTTGCTTTGTTTCATTGTTTAGCAGAGGGTTACATTGCTTGAGTGAAATTTGACCTAAAAGGAAGCTAAAAGGAAGCTCAGATAAGAAACCTGTTGTTCTAACTGGTGGGTGGCAGCAGCAGCAGCAGCATCCCCGGTAGCTGGCCCCCCTTGGTGTTTGTCACTGAACTGGGCTGTGGACACATCTGAAGGATGTGTCTGACAAGGGGTCCATTTACCAGGGACCATAGATTTGTGAAGACAGGGCATCATATTCTGATTATCTGGGCACAAGCACAGGCATTTCTTCAGGGAGTCTGTTCTCTTTTCAGTGCCGTTAGCCCATTTGGTATAAAACCAGGATTCCTGAACTCGGGCCTGAGATTATCATGAGGGCTTAGCAGGCCTCATCCTTGATACATGCGTGTTGTGTTACACTGGTAAGAGTTGTTTTAACTATAGCCGTCTTCCCTTTCAGTATATTTCTCTGTGAAAATTCTGTTCAGGGATGATTTCATGGCATGTGGTCAGAAGTATACTCGCTTCTCTCTGTTGTGTACTGAAGGCCTTCCCACAGCACTGGCAGCACCTCCTCCTCCTGCGTGTTTCATCATAGCCATCTGTGATTCAGAGCCAGCCCCCGGCATTCACCACAGAGTATTACAGAAATAAAGTGCTGTTCATTTCCTCCCATGTCCATCTCTGCCACGCCACTCCAGATAGGGCTGGGGCCTCGCCAAGCGTGTGCCTGTTGAGGAGGGCCCCCGAGTTCCCGCCCACTTCCAGAATCAACCTGTTGCTGTCTTAACATTTGTCATATGGATCTGCTCACCTTCTCATTAACGTGGTCAATTCATAAAAGGTTGTGTTATGTTGTCATTTATCTTCAGTTTTCTTATTTTCTAGGAACTTCCTGTAGAACAGCCCCCCACACAAAACAAACCTTAATTGACTAAATAAAGATAATGCATGCTCAACTTAGGATAAGCACTACGACAAAGGATGCGAGATCTACCAAGCTTGCAAGACCATGTGAAGCTGTCTCACACACCTGCAGGCTTCTTGTTGCCCCAGTTAGAGTCAGGCATCTGCGTCTTCGCTGGTGCCCACCACGTGCTGGGCACCCGGGTGATTGAGATGCAAGAGGTGCTGTCAGACGGGCTAGATGACCTGGCTCATCGTCACGGGACTGACAACTCCGATGCGAGTGTGGCCCTGGTTTTGGCACATAGCAGAGGAAGGAGTGATTTGAACTTAACCTTGCAAAGCAAGTTCTCTTTTTTATCAATAGTTCGTTGTAGATTTCAGGGATGACAGATTCTAATGCACTTGTTTTAAGAAGGTTTGGTCACATACCAGCTCTTGATGCCTTTCTTTTAAGTTAAGTATAGACAGAGGCATTTAGCTTCTCTCTCTGCCTGCTTTTTTTTTTTATTTTTTTAAATCACAAGCTGAATGCCAGCATAATCGAGAGGAAACCCGATTGGATATGAACTCCTTTTGTATGCCTCTTCCAGTTTCATGTGTGTTTATCCAGATGGACATCCTCTCAAATAATTATGTGGCACTAATTTATAACTATTATTGATATATTATGGGAGACTATGTAGCAATATACCATTGCCTAGAATGCATCTCAGGCCTAGAAAGCTGTATGTCTGCACTTAAGTAAAAAAATAAATAAAATAACTTTACCTACAGTGTACTACAGTCTCTAATAGAGATTTAAAAACTACAAGTTGGCCTTTTCCTGGGTGTATCATTTCTCCATACATTATACATGCTTTCACCCTAATTAATGACTGAGTTGGTGGGAAATGGCTAGGTTATTCATGTTTTTTTTTCCTCCTTTTGTTTTCAACTTTAAAAGTAATCTACCTCTTAAAATGTGTAGTTTAATACTTGTTTGGTGAATTTGTGCCATTTTAATCCTTTCACTATCATTCCCATTTTGTTACATTTCTGTTCTGGGGACTTTTGTGTTGAAATATTGTATAAAGCATTTGTAGCAGTTTAAAAATAAAATATTTAAAATTATTTAAATTGTTTTGGATGCTTCAATTGTATTGTGATTTGCCTTTTACATTTGTGTTTGAGTTGTTAATCTGGAGAGTGTTCTTGTACTGGAGTTTGCTGTTAGTTATTTTACTGTTTCTTGTTGGAGAGTTATGATATAAAAGACTATTTTAATGAAAACATTAAAATTTACAATTTGACATACAAAAGGGACTGTCTGTTGATTTGAACCATTGTAGCCTTTTAAGAGAGAAAGAGGCTAATTGTAGACAGACCGGCTAAGAGTGCCTGCTTGCTGTTTATCCCTTCCAGGATGAGACAAGTCACTGGAGCTTGTCAGATGTACGAAAGGTTTTTTATGCTGTTGCTAGCAAGCACTTATAACTAGGGGAACTTTAAATGATGCATTTTATATCATTGTAACCAATAAAAACTTTCTAAAAGCTCGTGAAAGGACTGCATTTTGTACACGGTTGGGAGCAGTGAAGGGCAAAGAAGGAAGAGGCCCGTAGAGAGGAGTTGGAAGCCGCACGCTGTGCTGTGCGCTGTGCAGGGCCCAGCCCGCCCCGAGGACCGCCTCCCTTGCTCCTGTGTGGCATTGCCTGTTATTCCCAAGCCTTACCTGCATTGAGCGGGTAGCCGTGAAGGCGGACAGTGTGCTCGGAGGTATCTGGAGAGTGAAATAAAGCATTTCACCCGTGGGGTCTCTACTTCCTCGATGCTTGCTAACAGTTGACTCTGGTTTGGGGGTTTCTATTGTTAATCCCCAAAGAATGAAACAAAGAAGTTGGAACATCTGTATTGAGTTTATGTGGTATTGCTGTTTTTCTTGAGATGGAATGTTTGCAGTTTCCTAAAGTCCCACGTGATATAGCACTGTGGTTCTCATGCTTTACATCAGTATGTGTCATGCCGGAGTCTTCGGGGAAGGCGGTAAAGCTGAAGGAGTGATCAGTGTCTCCTGGCCAAATGTCCTCTAGTTCATGGTACCCCCCTCTTCCCTCTTCCACCCCCCAGAGTCCCAGCGGGACAGTGGGGGAGGGGGGACAGGGCAGTTTCCCAGGAGGCAGTGGGGAGGCGCCGGGCTGGAGGAGTGAGGACTTGCTTTCTGTGTTGGCTGTTTAATGGCCCTGCACTGAGGGCTGCGCACACACAGCTCCCTGCAAACTGCACACTGTGGGAGGAGAGGGCGCTGCTCATGGAGGAAGTAGGTTCCATCTTGGCCATGTGCTCGCCATTCTTCTCCCTTCACACCGGCAGCCAGGCAGCCAGCAGGCATCGCGCGCACACTCGCCTTCCAGCCTCCGATGGCCTGCTCCGGGGGCTCCGCCTGGGGCAGATTATTTCTGGATCTTAGTTCCCGGTCTGTGCCAAGTAGGGAATGGTGAGGTGGTCTCTGCTTTTCCTTCGTCGTCTTACTGGGTGTGGAGGCTGGGACTCTGGCGGGCCTGGGAGTTTGCCTACAAGATGCTGGGCCTACACAGTGCTGAGGGATATTTTTGAAAAAAGAAACTAGGTCCAGATTGGTGGGAACAAAGCATTCCATATTATTGTTAAATTCTTCCTAGACAAAAACAACAGGGCAGAAACAAATCCTTGGAACAAAACCTGAAGTTTGAGCGGGTGAGACCCAGAGGAAAATGTACGACTGCTCATTGGCTGATCGGGGCAGGCTCTGTGCCCCCGTCTCCCGTTCGGAGACCACCCAGGCCGAGTCCCAACCTCCAGGCGCTGTGGTTCACTGGAGTTCCTCGCTTGCCAGTGGTGACAAGCTTCTGGGAAGCTGACAGCTACACTCGCTTTCCTTTCCGTGTGCAAGGCTCTGCCCTAAGCGTTTGTCAGGCTCCTGACAATAGCACCCTGAGTTTGGTGTCATTTACCGATGGGGGAACAGACCTGGGGGAGTTGAAAATGCCAAGCTGGGATTTAAACTGCCTCCGACCTGCACCATCCTGTCTATTTATTATTTTTATAGCTACCCCCCCCCCCCCCCCCAAAGTTTCATTTCCTCTAGATGTAAAAGCCTCAAGTCTCCCCCTGCCTTTGTGAACAAGTAGAGTCGCCCCTTTGTGGGCGAGGAAGTCTTCCTGCTCCAGCAAGACCTTCAGCAGGAGCAGCTCCTGGAGCACCAGTATCTGATTTCACTCCAAACGGTGGGGTGTGCTCCCACGTCCCGGCCGCTCAGGTCCCGCTGACTTTCTAGATTGATCTGATTAGTCAACAGAAATCGTCTAAGGAAAATCAAGCTCACCTTCATTCTCTGGTCTGGAGAGAGGTTCTGAAGCAGGGCCTGGGGAGCCTGCAGAGCGTCTTGGTTGTCACTTGAGAACGTTGACCTGTTGGGCATTAGCCCAAAAGGAAAGCTGATCCGGGCTTGCCTCCCCCTCTCCCTCTCCCTTAGCAAGTATGTGTTAAGTGCAAATCAAAGGGTTAAACTTGTGCCAGTAGTAGGTTATTTTTAAAGTATAGCATTACAGCCAGGGGCGTGGGCGTAGGTCTTATTTACTTTCTAGATTAAGAATTAGAAAGCCCTCACAGACTGCAGTAAATTGCTTGCAGTTCTGCTGTGAGCCGTTAAAGAGGCTTGGAAATACTTTTATTAGCGTTAACTCGCTGAACTCCTGGGGCAGTGGGATTTGTGCTTGCTTCTGTTTCCTGCCTCACTTACACCAGCTGGATTCCTTTTCTGCTGTCTTACAGAGAGACCTCAAATCCAGGCAGGTGTCCCAGAGAACAGATTTTTACAGAGGATTTCTAATGCCTAAATGTGCCTTCCCATGTCCAGCTTATAAACAACAGTTACAAGCCAGGCAGCACCCACGGTTCTGGACATGCCTTGGTAGGTGCTGCCTGAGTTGTTACCCAGTCGGGGTGAGAAGTTGGGTATCACTTTAGCAATGACAGGAAACTACAGAAGGTTTTTTAAAGGACAGGTTTTTATTCTGGACGTATTTAAGAAGATTTCCGTAGTAATGTTTAGACAGGAGCCTTCTGTGCAGTCTGGAATTCTGCTTAGGTAACTACTGAATGTTCGCACTAAATTTTAAGTGTAGCCCTAGCTGGTTTGGCTTGGTGGTTAGAGCATCGACCTGTGGACAAAGGTCCAGGGTTCAATTCCAGTCAAGGGCACATGCCCAGGTTGTGAGCTCGATCCCTCGTAAGGGCCAGGCAGGAGGCAGCCAACCAATTATTCTTTCTCGTCGTTTCTGTTTCTCTCTCTCCATCTCCCTTCCTCTCTAAATCAATAAAAAATATATTTTAAAAAAATCTTAAGGGTAAGTTTTCAGTAGGAATCTTTAAAGGCCTGGAGTTTGTTGCACAGGTAAGTTAATAACAATAGGGAATTTAGGCCTTTAGGATACAGTGTGGCAGTTTTTCATTTTTTATCTTTTAAAGAAAAATAGAATTTCAGCCCTAGCCGGTTTGGCTCAGTGGGTGGAAGAGCATCCACCCATGGACTGAATGGTCCTGGGTTTGATTCTGGTTGGGGGCACAAACCTAAGTTGCAGGTTCCGTCCTTGGTGGGGCATGTGGGGGAGGCAACCAATGTTTCTGTCTGTCCCCCCCTTCCTTCCATTCCCTCTAAAAAAACCAATAGAAAAAATATCCTTGGGGGAGGATTAACAGAAAATAAAAATGGAATTTCAA